TTTGTATGACTTTTTGTTTTAAGCATTGCTGGTTCTTTTGTGTTTTGCTCTTCCAGATTTAAGGAAACCTGTTCTCTCAAGCTATCTGTGACATGCAGCAATTTGATAAAGTAGACCTTTGCAAACAAAGATAAAACATTTATCTTTTTCTTCCTGCCTATTCCTCTAGAATTTGGAAACTCTTAATAAGTGTTCTTATTTTCATGGCAATAGAGTTATTTAAATAAGCTCAGTAAGAATCTGTTCTCTTTACAACAGGACACAATTGGAAACAATGGTTGTAATACCAAGGCTTTGACTGGTACGTCATATTCGACTGAGACATGCATTAACTCACATACGATCAGTCAGCTTTAAGGAACAAAGACTGACTTTATGGAGTCAATAAAGACCCTTGAAAAACCGGCCTGGTACCTTGCTTACAGGGTTCCCAGCAGCCAAACCAGGTGAGTAAGGAAAGTCACTTTATGGCAGGTGCAGGAACTCCAAGATATTGTGGGAACCTAAAGAAGACAGGAATTCTCCCAAATCTATAGTTATTGCAGGTAAAGTCTGATGGCAATTGTTGGCTTAGCTTTCCTGGCCTCGAGAGGCCTTTAAAAGTTCAATCTGAGATTCCTTGGGAAAAGTTCTAGTGAAGTAAATTTAAAAGAGCCTATATGATTAATTACTATTCTTCTTACACTTATGTAAATTATCAGGCCAAGTTTATTGAAACTAGACTAATTTTGAAATCACATTAAACTGTTTATTCTTTGCGTCTCTCACTGCTGTGCTGTGACATCCTCCACAGGAGTAATGATGGGTTGGTGTCTAGAGAGAACTGACCACTCCTGTAAGCTTCCTCCTTATGAAGATCATTAATTCCTCCTATTTCGAACACCACCTAAGACTCACTTCCTAGATGGCTCCTTGCTGCCCAAATGTGGCCAAGAGCTCTCTAAAAGCATTCCTCTTTCTTCCTCCGTGGGACATGACTCTCTGATAACGAGCCTTCTCAGCATCAAGGAAGTTGACGCCAATAACAAATAACTAAATGGTTTATCACCGATGCTTTCCAAAGAAAGGTCTCGATGAAAAGGGAGAAATGTGGGGGGGAATGGGGTCACTGTTGCTAAGAGAGCTCTCTAAAACGGAGCCGGGAGGAAGCACCTGGGCCGTTGCACTGACCTCCTCAGGAGGGAAGGGCCTTCCCCAAAGGAGATGAGCTCCGGTTCAGGGACGAGGAGGCTGTCTGGCTTCAGACAAGCCTTTGTCTTCGGCTTCTTCCCAAGTGGCCAGCAAAAAAAAGTAACTTGTTTTCCTCTGCTTCTTAAAACCCAACTCTAAAAAAAAATCTCACCTCCACCCAAAACAGTGACAAAAAATAAAACTCATGTGTTCCATGATCTCAGATTGTCCCTCCTAATGGGGCAGTGAACACAGGCATCTCAAGTTAATGATTTTAGCACTTTTCTAAGGATGGGAAGATGCAAGAATCTGGGCTCAGTGAAATTATGCCTTAGATAAGCATCTTAACATACAGGGCCAGTGTCCAAAGCACATAGTTCTTCCTGTTTTTCTGTATCCTGAATTCCCTTCAGAGTGCACAGTAGGAGGGTGGAGCTGCAGTGGCTGGTGGCTTGACCCTTGTTTTGCAGAATAACGGGCAAGATGCTTTGTTTACTGGAATGGTGGGCAACACTCCCGGTCCACAGTGGACACCCGGTTGGTGTCAGAGAATCGGCGTCAGGATGGCAGCAGGCTCTTCTCAGCACCTGACCAAGCCGGTGTCCAAGCCGCTGTTCCACTAGGAGTCCAGTCTCTCTTGGGAGGGCAGAAGTGATGAAGTGCACCTTTTACAAGATCTCATTTTGTATCCAGCCCTGAGCTGATGATGTAAACAGGTGAACGCAAGGAGGTCTCTGCCCGTGGTGGTAAGCCGTGGAGAAAGCGTTGAGACGATGAACCAGGTATGCGCCCACCCTCTTCCTTCTGACTGCGAACTGTGTCCATGCTCAGCCTCTCTGAACCCCACGACTGCCCACCTGCTTAACACTTTCTCACAGGACAGAGTGTGCCCAAGCCGAAGTTCTCTGCTGTCACCAAAAGCAGCCACATGAAAACCTCCACAGGGACCGGAGACTGCCTTACGGTTGCGGGGCCCCTGGGCTCTCCCACCTCGGTGGCCATCTTTGCTGGAGCACCCGGTTCGGCTTCTGTCAATCTGGTGAGTGCACATCTGGTCAGACGCCTTGCTTCCTGAGCAGATGGTCAGAGGAAGTTGCTAGTTAGGTTTTCAGATCATCACCGCAGAATATCATCTTAACATCAGCCGAGCCATTTTAGGAAAATATGAGCGGCCAAAGAGGAGACCAAGATAAATTTCGTCCAGCCACTCTTAGCAACTCCATCCCCAACTCCCCTTGCCTGTAACTCAACAAGTTAATGTTTGCTGAAGATGCAAAATGTTGGCATGGTTGCCACCTGAGTTTATACTCTTTCCTACCCCAGATCCTCTTCTGACGAGATGTAAAAAGACCTGTATACAGTAGGCTAGCATAGACACAACTGTACCAAATTGTTTTTTTTAGCAGATGATGGGAAAAGAGTAATCCCCTGCCATTTAGTTGTGTGTGAGGAGACACTGCTTTGTGTTGCGGGGGTTACCAGCCTGCCTGTGACAGCCTTGGCCGTAGCCAAGTTATGCAAGGTAAGCCTGGCCTTTCTCACTTCTCTGTATTTCTGAGGAATCTGCTCTTCCATTTCTTCTTAAAAGAGTTCTGCATCTTCTTATGGAGAATTGATAACCCTGCAGTGGACCTTGGTGATTATATGCACGTTAATCCAGGTACCTCGGTTATAGGCTATGGCTGAGAGAGAAGATAAATTTCCCAATTGGTAATGGGATGATCAAAGTAGGTATAAATGGAACCCCAGGCTTTGCCCTTGAACTTATGATCCCTAATAACCAGCCTGCGGACGCGGGATGCTTTAGCCGTGGGACAGGACTGCAGGAGAGCCTGGTCATCCAGTCTTCCCCCCCCCAGTGCTCCCTTCCTGGCTACACTGCCTTCTCATTCATGTTACCTAACCTGTAGATTTGTTTGTGTTGGAGCACTGATGGGCACTGACCGTTACTTTTAGGACAAGACAGTTATCAAATTTTGTTGCTAATAAGAAATGTACCTCAGCTTGTTTGATGGAACTGAGGAGGTGACGTAAGTGTCATCTAATTCTCTACATTTTGCTGCAAGCAGAAGTGTTTGTGCCTGATCAAAACTCCACTTTTGACAAGGACCAACCTCCAAGTCCAAGGCAGACCTTGTGCCTTGTCTCCCACCTGTGCAATGATGTAACTTAGGAATGACAAGGTACCTTCTCACTACTGGCCTCATCTTTGTTCTTCCTAGCTGGGGCAAGAGGTTGGGAGACAGAGGATTCATTAAAATGGCAGAGGTTGGTGGCTGTGATGTGACCAGGAATGCATCCTGGTGTAAAGAAGCAGTTACTTCCTCTCTCCTCTGGTGAGAAATCATTTCAGGTGACCAGAACTATCTTGAGGCCTAAAAATTTCACCAGATGATGCCTGACATCCAGAGGGGCCATTTTCAGCATCCTCCCATCTCAGGTTCTCCTTGTCAAGTTAACTCTCTCAGCTGTGCTGCACATTTTTTTAACCAAAATGAAGAGTCTGACACGAATATTAATTCATCG